GATGACCAAATCCAATGTGGTATCCTGGACTGGATACTGGTCCAAAAAAGGACCTGAGAACCGATCTATTCATGATAAAATATTAGACAAGTCATAATCAAGTGGTACTCTATAAAACAACTAATAGTCCTCAAACTATCAAAGTGATCAAAAAATGAAAAAGAGAAATTTTCACAGCCAAGAAAAGTCTTAAGGAAGCTTGACTACTAATTGTAGTAAGGTTTCCAGGGTGGGATCTGGAACGGAAAAGGGACATCAGCAAAAATTAAAGAAATCTGAATAAAGGATGGACTTTGGCTAATGAGATTTATCAACACAGATTTATTAATTGTCCTAGCTAATAATGGGAAAACTTGGAGGGAGGATAAACTATTGTAAAATTAAAGGGTTGTTTTATTTTTTAAAAAAAGACACTAGTGGCAACACTAGTGAAAACTGAATTTAAAGTCCATTTTTACAATAATATAGCAATACTAATTTTGTGCTTTATGATATAGCATGTCTCATGTCAAATGTAACGTGGTTATTAAAAAGACAACACTAGGGTAAACAACTGGATGATAGGTATATGGAAACTAAATTATCTTTGCAAGTTTTCTAAAAATTTATATAAAGAGTGGACAAAATTATTCAAACTTGCACATTTTGTCCACTATTTTTAGTGGACAAAATTATTCAAACTTGCACATCTTGAAAGATACACAAGTGACTAATAAAGATAAAAAATCTTCATCATAGAAATGCAAGTATAAACCAAAATAAGAAAACATTAGAACCCTTTACAATTGCTAAAATTTAAAAGACTGGCCTCTTAAATAAAATGGACAACTCTTTGAAAGACTTAAGTTACCAAAACTCACTGAGTAGAAAGATAATTTCAGTAACCTAAGAACCACTAAAAATTGAACTCCTGCTTCAAAATCCACAAAGAAAACTCCAGGTCCAGAAAACCTCGTTGGTAAATTCTACCAAACATTCAAGAAACAATTTCAGTTCTAGACATCTTCTTCCAGAAAACAGAAGTGGAAACATTTCTCAACTCATTATTTGTCACCAACATTAGCCAGACAAAGAGATTACAAGAAAACAAATCGGCAGACCCATGAATACAGATGCAAAGTTCCTTTAAATTGTTTAGCAAATTAAATCTAGTAAAATACCTAAAAAGACTAACTGATCATGAACAAGAGGCAATTTCCCCAGGAATACAAAGTTGGATTAACATCAAAAATCAGTTATATTTTATTATCACAATACAAGGAAAGAGAAAAAACATGCAATTGTCTGGACAGACACAGGAAAAGTTTTTGACAAAATCCAAAATACGTAAGCAGGGCCTCCCTGATGGCGCAAGGGGTTAAGCACCGCACTATGAAGCAATCCACAGCCTCTGCAGCATAAGTTTGCTCCCCGGCCGGCCAGGGAGCTACCCAGATGGTGCAGCAGACCTCTCCTATTTCGCGCGCTGCTCCCTTCAGCAGTGTACTTTGGTCAATCTGCCTGTTCTGTTCCCCACTCTGTCTCTGGTGAATCCTCTCACCCCCCGAAATCTCTGGCCTATACTCCAGCTCTTGTATGCATAAATAAATAAATCTTAAAAAAAATACATAAGCAAAAAAAATCCATATGACAAGAGCAGAAAAGTCATTAAAAAAATAACGAATGCCAAAAACAAGTTTGTTGGACATTGATATAACATGAAAAGATTCTAGATCTTTGAAAGTCATTACGTAGGAATGCAATTTCTTATAAGAGTTAATTAGAGGGCCTCCCCGGTGGTGCAGCGGTTGAGCGCTGGGCTGCGAAGCTGCCCGCAGCCTCTGCAGCGCTGGTGTGATCCCCGGCTGCTCCCAGGCCGCTGGGCGAGGGTCCCACATGGCGCACAGACCTCTCCTGCCGCCCACTGCTCCCCTCAGCAGTGTACTTCGTCAGTCTGCCTGCTCTGCTCTCCCCTCTGGCTCTGGTGAATTTTCTCACCCTCCAGCGTTGCTGACTGTACCCAGTGCGTGTATAAATAAATAAATAATTTTTTTTTTTTTAAAAAAGAGTTAATTACATTTGGTCTTGAAGTAATCTGATTTCATTGAGTATCAAATATTCCCTCTGACTGTATTTTTATATAGGTTAAAATTAAAATTAATTCTTATACATTGAAAATGCTTTGGTTGTTGTCTGATAACACTGCATCATTTGGAAAGGGAACAAGAAGAAAAAGATAATAATAAAGGTTTCCAATATGTTGCAGGTAACTTAAATAATTAAGAAGTATAAGCATCAGTCACTGAGAGGTGACAAGCAAACCAAAATTTCTGTCTCTGTTTATGAAATTACTAATGGAAAATTTTTTCCTTTCTTTAGGTCTTATTTTTCTATTCTTTTATAAGAGGAAATTATGCTAATTCATTCTTAAACTCAGCAAATATTTATTGAGCACCTATTATGTGTCAAATGCTTTTTTAAAATTTATTTTATTATTATTTTTTAAATTTTATATATATATTTTTTTAAACATTTATTTATTTATTTATACAAGCACTGGGTACAGTCAGAAGCGCGGGAGGGTGAGAGAACCCACCAGAGCCAGAGTGGGGAGCAGAGCAGGCAGAAGGACCGAAGTACACTGCTGAGGGGAGCAGCAGGCGGCAGGAGAGGTCTGCACGCCATGTGGGACCCTCCTCCGGTGGCCGGGGAGCAGCCGGGATCGAACCGGCGCTGCAGAGGCTGTGTCGAACCGGCGCTGCAGAGGCTGCGGGCAGCCCTGCAACCCAGCGCTCAACCGCTGCGCCACTGGGGAGGCCTAATTTTATATATTTTTTACATCATTTTTCATTTTACACCATGTATGCATTTTCATCTTGGTTATAGTCCCCATACCATTCCCATTTCCCCCTTTTTTGATCCTACTCTCTCCTCTCCCCACCTCCTGTAGTGTGTCTGGTTTATAGTTGCTTGTTGATTTTGATTTTTACTTTATTATAATTAGTCTTTTTCCTGCTCCCTTATTTAGGATTTCTAAATTCCTGCTATGAGTGAGACCATCTGGTATTTTTCTTTTTCTTTCTGACTTATTTCATTGAGCATGATCCCTTCCAGCGCCATCCATGTTGCTGCAAATTGCATGAGTTTATCTTTTTTGATTGCTGAGTAATATTCCATTGTGTATATGTACCACATCTTCTTGATCCAGTCATCTATTTTTGGGCATTTGGGTTGTTTCCATAGCTCAGCTATTGTAAATAGTGCTGCTAGAAACACAGGGGTGCAGGTGCCCTTTTGAAGTAATGTTTCTGTATCCTTTGGGTAAATACCTAGGAGTGGAATTGCTGGATTCAAATGCTTTTTCCAGACACGGAGGAATACAAAGCAGTGTTTAAAAAAAAAAAGACAAATCCCACCTTGCCCCATACACACAGAGTTTAAAGAGACAAACAAAATACATATGTAAAGTATACATCATACAAAAGGGTTAATAAATGCTACAGAGAAAAATAAAGCAGGAAAGGAGACAGAATGCATGAGGAGAGATTGGTTTTAAGTAGCATTATAAAGAAACTACATGATTTCTAGGTTCACGTTCAGTTCAAACAGCCAATGATTTTCTTCTGTGTTGAGTAGGCAGCATAAAAATACATAGTGAACCTCTGAACCTGACCTCTTTAAACTCCTACATTCTATCACCTTGTTCTGTGTGTCACCACTTATATTTTAGAAAAATAGGATTAAATATAAACTTTTCCATACTGAGACAAAGCATATGCTGTCATTTAATGAAATAAGTAATTTCCCAGTCTTGCCTTGGGAGAGGGACATAAGAAAAATAAAACTTGGCAATGTCTCCCCAGACAAAGGTTCTAAAAATGTGGCATTTCTGTACACTACAGAAAGGATTCAAATTAGCTGTTTTTTCCCTCCTCCAATATATTTGTGGTCTGGAATTCAGTCCTTTATTGGGTCTAAGTTACAACAAGAGGTGGTTTAAGAGCTTCTCCAAAATGGAAGAATTTCCACGGGCAAGAAAAGTTCTATGAGTAATACTACTATAGTTATTGCAGCTACCACGTTTTATATGCCTGCTATGTGCCAGGTACAGCACCATTTTGTATATTAGGTCAAATTATATGAAACTGCCATTTATAAGTCAGAATCAGCAATTTTATATAGTTTGAGTATACTGTCATTCATTCATTTCAAATTCCATGAGAAAGAATTCTGTGTGCATTTCTGCTTTTTCATAGCTCATCTATTAAATTACCTATCTATTACAGAGTTTGTGTAAACAAATATACAAAAACTTTCATTATAACTTAATCTGAGGATCTGACTTTTAAGTATCATAAATTTCATCTAAGCAATATGGCTTCATTTGAGAAAAGCTCAATTACTAATTTATAACCACTATTCTGCTTAGAAAGACAGAATCTTCATTCCAAAATTAACACTTTTTTCTCTACTAGGAAGAATACAAAGCATACCAATATTATGTTAATATCTTAAATCTGTCCATCTTGGATTGAAATTTCTATTTTTTTGGAAATGGGTCATTAAAAGGATCTTTCCCTAAAGAGAACATTGCGCATAAACCAACCTATTAAATTTAATCCAAATAATTTTTAAATCATCTTTTAAAAGTAGATTAGTCCCTAAAGTTTATTTCTTTTTCTTCTGGCAGCTATTTTTCATTCATTATACAGTTCATGTCTAGAGTTCACTTTTATAGGACATTAATAAAATAGCTTTTAATTATCTTATAAGTAATTACATGTAATCTAAAGTTTCATCCAGCAGAATAAGGCAGGCACTTTGTATGTTACATTATTAGCAGATGGGAAAGTTTATTTACAACCTTTAAATGCCAACAGAAGTCTTAGTGAAACATTTCAGGTTAAAAAAGAAAAAACAACAAAGTCTTTTTTGGGAAAAAAAAGCAATCCAAGAAGAATATAATGATTACTTTTAGAAATCAAGACGTTTAATTATACAGGTAAATATATAAAACCTACCAGCTCATTGCTTGTAGATGTGAGTCTTAGTTTTTCTTCAATTTCCTTTCCAATTTTCTGAACAGTTACCTGAGTCTGTTTAATTGCACACTGGGCTCTATGAAGCCTAGAAATGAAAATTGTAGAAAAATTTAAATAAAATAACTATAAACTCTGAACACAGAACCAAAGACATAAATGGACATTAGAGTATAAACAGAATTAAAAATGAACCAAGCTGATCATTTCACAATTCTCTAACATTATCTACAATGAAATAACAAGTATTACAACATGCTGTAAAACCACCTTTTCTATAAACCTGCCTCTAATGTATTGAGAGCTAAAATGAAAAACTCACTGGAGTCTAGAAGTGACTTTGGAAAATAATCTGGCTGGATCCTATGATTTTGCAGAGAAATTAGGAGAACATCGCCACTACCCAGAAAACTGAATTAAAGCAGACACTATTTTGAAACAAGCAACATTGCCTCTTTCAAATGAGCTATTGTTATTTCTTTTTTTGCTTTAATTTTGTTTGTTTTATTTTTAGTTCTCTTTGTCTTCAAACATAGCTTATATATTCCTTATACATTACATAACAAAAATGAGCAAGTTGTCTTTCGTCATAAATGACATGATTTCCATGTGGAAAATCATTAGAGATCTATAAAACAACTACAAGAATAAAATCACAGGGAAAAAAGGGCAATATACAAAAATCCTGTTGTATTCCATATATAGTGCAACACTATCACAATTCCCCTCAAAATCACAATAGGCTTTTCTTTTTTGGTAAAAATTAAGAATCTGGGACTATAATTTATACTACAAAGAATATTATATTAAAAAAAAAACAAAAAATCTTGAAGCACTAAACGTGATTTCAAATCTCTCTTTTTCATAAAGCTACATAACCAAAACAATATGCAATTGGCATAAGGACTGAAAAACTGATCAATGAAACAGAATAAAGAGTATAGAAACAGGCCTACATATAGATGGTCAATTGATGCTGGACAAAGGAATCCAAGCAAATTAATGGAGAAGGAAATTTTTTTTAAATAAATGTTGCTGGAACACTGGATAAACACAGGAAGAAAAAAGAATTTCATTCCCTATCTCACAGCACACACACAAAAATCAAGTCAAGGAGATCATAGTAAATATAAAAACTAAAATCATAAAACTTCTAGAAGAAACCAGGACAATCTCTTGCAACTTTGGGATAGGCAAATATTTCAAAAGAACACATAAAAAGCACTAACCAAATAAAAAATTAATAAATTGGATTTTACCAAAAAAAAAAAGTTTGTTCATAAAGATACCATTAAGAAAATGTAGAAACAATGCACAGACTGGGAGAAAATACATGCAAAACATCAATCAGACAAAGGACTGTGTCTGAAGTATTTTAAGAAGTCTCAGAAATTACTAACAAAAAGACAATCCAATCAAAAATGGGGCATAAGAGTGAAATACTTCACAAAAGAAGATATAAGGAAGGTCAATAAATATAAGGAAGGGTACTCAACATTTTAGTCATAGTGGAAATGCAAATTAAAATAATGAAATACCAATTCAACCTGTTGAAGATAGCTAATATTGAAAGAACAATGTATTGTTGGTAAAAGTGTAAAACAGTACTATCATCTTGATAAACCTTAAAGTTAAACATACATCTAATCTATGACCTAGCACTTCTACTCTGTGGTATTTATTCAAAAAACCTTAAAGTGATACATTAAGATTTGTCTATGAATGTTCATAGAAAACAATACAAATGGTTATCAAATATGAGAATTAATAAATTGCAGAATATTCATACAATGAAATTCTACTGAGCAATAAAAAGGAACATACCAATGATAAACACAATAATACAAATGAATCTCAAAAACACTATGTTAAATTTTTACTAAAAAATGCCAACAACAGGTAAAAGCAATCTATCATGAGAAAGCAAAAGAATGACTACTTGCCTATGTGGGGCAGGGTTTGCCTGGTAGGGAGCAAGGGGAGCAAAGGAACTATCTGAGGGGTGGAAATGGTTCCATATCTCATTGGTAGTAAGGGGCATATGGGTGTGTATACTTAGCAAACCTCTGAAGAGTAAGCAAAAGATGTACACATTTCAATGTATGTAAATTTTACCCATTTTTTTTAACCTGGTCAGCAATGCTAATCTGAAAGTTATCCTTTATATGAGGTCAATTTTATTAGAGATCTGATGGCATCAATACTTTTACCAACACCATTATTATTATTATTGACACTATGTATTCATATCAAATACACTATGTATTCAATATCGAATATTCATATCATATTCTGCACTTTCAGAAATTGCCTAATCATTTCTGAGGATTTCTTAGGTCAGCAACTCTTATAATAAGTTTGCTTATGAGATCAATTATTCAACAACATCCTCAGGGTTCTCAAAAAATTCAATACAAGAGATTATACTCCATCTACTGTCTCTTGCTCTATGTGTAAGTCTCTTTTACTCTGTGTCTCTTGATCTCTTATTAGTAATACTCTCTTACAAAGATAGCTCTAAAGCAAGGAAAGGTACTTTGTGATGTGGTCCCAGCATACACCTGCAGTCTCATATCCTCATAATCCTTACTTTGCATACTCTACTCCAGCAATATTGAAACTACTGATATTTCTCCAAACATGTCATGCCATTTCTGGCTTCTCAACCTTTGAGCAGTTCTTTGCCTATAAGTTCTCCCTGTCTCTTAGCAGGTAAATGTATTCCCAAATTTATTAAGAAGCAACTCAAGTATAAACACTTGAGTTTATAGGCCTTCCTTGACTGCTCCAGACAAGTTGAGGCATCCCTTCCTCTGGAAATTTGCCACATCATGTATATAACATCACTAAAAAGAATACAAAAGAGCATTTCACAGCAACTATTCTTCTCTACTTCCTTACTAGATCTGAGCAGGAAAAAAAAGTCTCATTTTTTAAATGAATCTTTTCAGTGCTAAGCATAGAACATGGTACAAAGGAGGTACTCAATATATTTTCTACTGAATGTCAACCAATGTCTGAATATAAAAGCATCTTTCCAAGATTTCATATTTACAATGGACATCAGTAGGAGAAAGATTAATGTGATCAATTTCTATATTTAGTACTTCAAAATATTCTATTCAAAATGTAATTCATATAAACAGTGATCATTAAAGTAAGAAAACAAGGAATTTTTACTAAAAATGTTATCAAAATTCTAACAATAGTTGGTAGGCATTATCAACAAGAGCAGAAATCAACAATATATCCTGTTACTTTAAACGGGGAAAATGCTGCCTAAAATTCACTGGTACTATGCAAACAACCTTGTCAGATGGTAAAGACTTTAAAAATAAAAATGATTCATGACCATAATTAATGTATGACTTCAACTATTTGGCTCTCACTGCCCCAGACGCTTTCTGATCTTACCTTAGGGGCTTTAAACACACAGACAGAGTCACATTTCCTCCAATCTTCAGTGTTATCCAAATAGACTTTCAGAGTCCCTGCTACATCAAGACAGAGCTAATAACACCGCCCTCCCCTCCCCCCACCTTTCAAATAGAACAGGAGAATAAAAGTTTGAAGTGTCAGACTTTTAAACATAACCTGGGACATCCTGATTCCCCTAGGGGTTAGGAGGTGCAGGACTAACAAGAAAAGAAACAAATGCTTTACCTCCAAACCAGTTTCAGAGAAATGTTTCTTGATTTTGTAAACCATGAAAAGACACTATAAAGAAAGAAATTTACATGATCTGGTCACCTGGGTGATTGGTCAATACCAACACACTCCCAAGCTGACCTAAAACTCATCATCACTGGTGAAGGAAGTAGTGTATCTATCTAATAAGTAGTCTGATTATGGTAAATTAATGTATTCCTATTATTAAATACGATTCTAGAAACAGAAAAATGGAAACTGAACTAAAAAATAATTATTTCAGGTTAGAGATAGAGCTGTTAAGATACAAAGAATCAGGGCCTCCCCGGTGGTGCAGTGGGTTGAGCACAGCGCTGTGAAGCTGTGCACAGGCTCTGCAGCGCGGGTTCAATTCCTGGCCGGCCAGGGAGATTCCCACATGGCATAGCAGACCTCTCCTGTTGCACCCGCAGCTCCCCTCAACAGTGTACTTTGGTCATCTGCCTGTTCTGCTCCCTGCCCTGTCTCTGGTGAATTCTCTCACTCTCCCCTACCTCTGGCCTGTACCCCAGCTCTTGTATAAAAATAAATAAATCTTTAAAAAAAAAAAAGATACAAATACAAAGAATCAAAGGTATTATGTCAAATACACATTAATAAAGAATGAGACCATGGCAGTCAGTATTAATAATAATAATCTCAGTGAAGAAGTTAGGAGACAACTGAGTGGTAATCATATCACATCTGAAATGTTGTATTCAATTTTAAGATAGAGAATGACAACTTAGAACCCCCTAGAAAGGCAGTGAAGAACGGTTCCCTATGGCTTGCAAGGAAAGATAAAATGGGAGAATGTAGGAAAAGACATGAATCAATTGGGAGAAATAGATAACTTAGTCATTAATGACTTTGTATTCCATATAAGGAGCTTAGATCTATTTTTTAATTCTAAAGGAATTAGGAGTTTTAAGTTGGGAAAGATTTAATTACATCTGCACTTTAGAAAGATCTTTCTTTCTGTAATAAGGTGAATATGACACAGAGAAACAGACTATAAGCAGGAAGGCATTGCAAGTATCCCAGTAAAAGTTGAAGCACTGTCTTAAACTAACACAGTAACAGGAAAAATAGTATAGATACAAAGAGTGAGAGAAAAGGAGAGCTGAACAATGATGCTTGAAAATAAATCACCAACATAAAGATTTCAAAAGAAGACATCACTACAGATCCTATAGATGTTTAAATGGCGTTAGGGGAAATTATGAACATTCTATTCCAGTAAATTCAATGTAGATGAAATAGTAAATATGCTAATTAATTCCTAATTAATATACAAAAATCAGTAACTAATAACTAATAATAAAGATAATGAAAGACCTGTACACTGGAAACTACAAAACATTGTCAGGAGAAACTAAGACACGCAATTGGAGATATTTTATATCTCCAATTTATATAAGT